TAGATGTTTTACAAAAGGCTTTTCCCATGCTGGTGGCTGAATTAAAACAGTGGGGATTAGAGATTGCCTCAGAAAAGGTTCAAATTGCAGATACAGGGCTCTTTTTGGGCTCAAAGATTACTCCCAAAAATATAGTTCCTCAGAAAATAGAAATTCGCAAAGACCACTTACAAACATTAAATGATTTTCAGAAACTTCTGGGAGATATAAATTGGTTGAGGCCCTTTTTAAAAATTCCATCTGCTGATCTAAAACCCCTCTTCGATCTCCTGGAGGGTGAGCCTCATATCTCCTCACCCAGAAAATTTACCCCTGCCGCCCACCGAGCCTTACAGATGGTGGAAGAGGCCTTACAGGAAGCACAATTACAACGAATTGAGGAGTCACTACCTTTTAATCTGTGTGTTTTTAAGACAGCTCAATTGCCAACTGCAGTCCTGTGGCAACATGGACCATTACTTTGGATTCATCCAAATGCTTCCCCTGCTAAGATTATTGACTGGTACCCTGATGCTGTTGCACAGCTCGCGCTTCGCGGAATAAAAGCAGCTGTTACACATTTTGGCAGGGATCCTGATTCCTTGATTGTGCCTTATACTGCTGCACAAGTTCAGACCTTGGCAGCCACATCTAGTGATTGGGCAGTTTTAGTTACTTCCTTTTCAGGACAAATTGATAATCATTTTCCAAAGCATCCAATTTTACAGTTTGCCCTAAACCAGGCTATAGTGTTTCCACAAGTGACAGCTAAAGACCCACTCCCAGATGGGACTGTGGTGTACACTGATGGATCAAAAACTGGTATGGGAGCTTATGTGGTCAAGGATAGGGTTATATCTAAACAATATAATGAAACTTCACCTCAAGTTGTAGAATGTCTGATAGTACTGGAGGTTCTTGAGGCTTTTCCAGGACCCCTCAATATTGTATCAGATTCCTCTTATGTGGTTAATGCAGTTAATCTCCTTGAGATAGCTGGAATAATAAGATCCTCCAGCAGAGTTGCTAACATCTTTCAGAAGATACAAGCTGCCTTGTTAAATAGGAGATTTCCTGTTTTCATTACCCATGTCCGAGCACATTCTGGACTCCCAGGTCCCATGTCCTTAGGGAATGACTTAGCGGACAAGGCTACAAAGCTGGTGGCCGCTGCCTTGTCTACCCATGCACAAGCAGCAAAAGAATTCCATAAGCGCTTTCATGTGACGGCTGAGACCTTGCGCCGTCGTTTTGCTCTATCCAGGAAAGAGGCTAGGGAAATTGTTACTCAATGCCAGAATTGCTGCGAATTCTTACCTACTCCCCACATGGGAATAAACCCACGTGGCATTAGACCATTGCAGATGTGGCAGATGGATGTTACTCATATTCCCTCTTTTGGAAGGCTTCAATATGTTCATGTTTCTGTTGACACCTGTTCTGGCGTAATGTTTGCCACACCCCTAACAGGGGAAAAGGCCTCATATGTGATTCAACATTGCCTTGAGGCCTGGAGTGCTTGGGGAAAACCCAGAATTTTAAAAACAGACAATGGACCAGCATATACCTCTCAAAAATTCCGACAGTTTTGTCGGCAAATGGATGTTACCCATCTAACTGGCCTACCTTATAACCCTCAAGGACAGGGCATTGTGGAACGTGCCCATCGTACACTCAAATCATATCTGATTAAACAAAAGGGGAGTATTGAGGATGTTCTACCCTCGGTACCAAGAGTTGCTGTATCCATGGCACTTTTTACCCTTAATTTCTTGAACTGTGATGCCCAAGGCCACACTGCGGCTGATCGCCACAGTTTAGAGCCTGATAGGCCAAAAGAAATGGTAAAATGGAAAGATGTCTTGACTGATCTCTGGAAAGGCCCGGATCCTATTCTTATAAGATCCAGGGGAGCTGTGTGTGTTTTTCCACAGGAGGAAGAAAACCCCCTGTGGATCCCTGAAAGACTCACTCGAAGAGCTCCTTCACAACTCCAGAATAAGAAGGATGGAGGCCAAGTGGGTGATGAAGACTCTCCTACTCGGGATGATGGTTCCTAGTATGATGGGAGAGTTACGGTGGGCCATCATGTCTACCTTCCCCCTACCGATGCCAGTGATGCAGAATGCCCAGGTGTTCCCTAGATTTTTCACAAATAATAGAGAGTTGGGGCTTGCCTTTTTGCCTTTAGATCCTCAGATACAGAGTTTTCAGGATGAGAGAACCTTGTCATTAGTAGGAAGCTTGTGCTTTACTGTGATTTCTTCATTAAAGGATAATTTTATTCATATGGATCCAGAAAGATCTAATGCTAATCCTTTTGAATTAATGGAAGCTGTACTGATCTTTCTCCTATGATAGTGAGAAGGGACAGATTACTTTTGATTGGAAAGGGGCATTAGGCAACAGTCTGAGTGAGGGACAGAGCTCTGGATCATCTGATTGGTCCTCCTCCAATGTTAAGTATACCCCTTTTAAGAGAACTAATTATTCAGCTGCCCTTTATTTGGGTTGTGAGTAATGATACCTTAGGTAAGAATCAGAAAGAAATAAATTGTTCTGCTTAGAATTGTTTTTATGCATTATGCTGGGATGCTATTAAGCACCCTTTTGCTTTGGTAATGCGCATGCCTCGATTTATTCCAGCTCCTGTTGAGACGCCAAGTAATTTGAGTTTGTTTAGGGAAAAGCGAGATTTTTGGGATCTCTGCTATTATTGTGGGCCTGATAGCCACCGCCGCGGTTACTGCTTCGGTTACCGCCTCGGCCCTTGCACTTTCTGCCACTGTGCAGACAACTCAAACCATTAATGAACTATAGGCCACTGTGACCATGGTCCTAGATAAACAGGCCACTGCCAATTCTCAGATACAAGGAGGCCTGATGTTGGTAAACCAACAGATTAATTTGGTTCAGGAACAATTGGATATATTGTGGCAGATGGCCAAATTGGGATGTGAACAAAGTTGCCTGGCCTTTGTGTCACTTAGTACAATATGAGAATTTTACAAGAGCAGCTAACCTGTCAAAAGCTCTGTCTCAACATTTATTACAGAATTGGACTTTTGAGTTTGAGCAGACACTCCGTGAGTTGAGAATGGCGATCCTGCAAGTGAATTCGACGCATCTGGATCTTTCTCTGATGGAAGACCTCTCCCCCTGGATTTCATCTGCATTTTCTTATTTTAAGGAATGGGTGGGGGTAGGATCATTTAGCCTAGTTCTCTGCTGTGGAATAGTGTTGATGCTTTGGATGGTGTGTACGCTCAGAGCCCAAACAAAAGGAGAAAGTGGTGGTGGCACAAGCACTTGCTGCCTTAGAACACGGAGCATCCCCTGACATTTGGTTAACCATGTTAAAGCAATAGGTCGCTGGCCTCCCAGCTCTTGCACCCCACGAGGCTAGTCTCATTGCACGGGATAGAGTGGGTAGGCTTCAGCAGCCCAAGGAGTTGCAAGGCTAAGCACTGCACAGGAGAGGTCTGCGGTATAACGACTTTCTCCTGGGAGATAAGTCATCTTGCATGAAGGTTCTATGTCATGATCTCCTTCCCCCAGAAAAAAGACATCGGACTGGTCAGGACTTCCTCTGGGGATAAGACCCTGGAGAGGAGCTTTGTACATGTTCCGAATTTGCACATGGGGATTTGACCTCTATCTCCACTCCAAAGTTGTGGGTGTCCTATTGCTTCAAAAATAAATGAATAGGGGGAGATGTGAGGAGCCGCCCTCGCTATCGCTATTGCCGTTAGAAGATGGCGCTGACATCTACTGTCAGTTGGAGTTAACTGTCGCTAGTAAGATGGCGCTGACTATCTGCTGTCAGTTGGAGTTAACCGTTTAAGCTGTGCCTCTCCCGTGGCGTCATCTGGGGTGATGTGCAAACCACCAATCCCGGCTCTACACGTCTCACTCGGAGCTCCTAGGCTTATATAAGGGGCTGGGTTTCTTAGCTTGGGGTCTCCCTCTAAGAAGCTGATCATCTATCTCTCAAGATGCATTAAAGCTTTACTGCAGAAGGATCCGAGTGTTCTGCGTCGTTCTTGCTGGCGAGACGGTAGCGCGGGACAGAAAGGTATATGAGATAGAGGAGAGAGAGGTATGCAAGTGTGTGATGGGGGAGAGAGAGGGGGAGAGAAAAACACACAGAGAGAGAGATGGGGGGAGAGAGAGAGCATCTACCTTTCTGTTTGCTGGCCTCTCTCTTACAAAGCCATCAATATTTAATCATGGGCCTCGTCTGAATGCCAACATCAGAGGTCAGAAAAGCATTACTTTCCTTTAGGGTTGTGGCCACTGGAGGCTTCCCATGCTCTAGTAGATGATACCACACCCACGTGACTGGACTCAATGGGGTTTTAAAGGTGGGGCATGAGGGTATTAGGTGGATATACATGCGGAGTCCAGGGAGAGTTAGTAAGGAAAAACATTGCATACCTGTATATAATTTTTTAATATTAAGTTTCTTAATTTTTAAGAAAAAATGCATAAAATAATGATGGCCAAGATATTGCAGTCCTTTCAAAGCAAAGATCACAGACATATAAGCACAAATAAATGCATGTGCATGAACACATGGATGCAGTTATCTACGACAAACATGTAATAGGTATGTAATAAAAATACTTAGCCATACCTAATAGCAACAAACCCCTAAATTTCTAAGATAATCAAGTAAAAAGTAAGAGGGTTTTTCTAAAATGTAGCTAATAATAGCGTCACTTCTCTGGACTTTTGAAGAGACAACAGCTACAGAGTGCTCAGCACAATTCCTAGCACAGAACAAGAGCTCAGTGCTCTCCTGCCCAAACCCACACCTCTACTGCCACCATGACAGCCACTGCCAGTACTCACGTTTATCACCACCGCGTGCAGGACAGCCTGCAACCTTTCCGTCATCTCACGTCAAGAGCCTTCAGCAAGGCAAACCTAATCAGCTGGGAAGGTCATTTCCAGTGCAGTCCCCACCTGCACAGCTAAACAACTCAGTTCTTTACTGCAAGGGCCCAGTTATGTGTTACCTTTTCATGGTTCTCTATTAAGATCTCAATGACAATATTCTGAAACTTGATGTCCATGATGGCTGCCACTGTCTCTTCCTGAGGCCGCAGCAAGGTGGGTCCAAACACCACGCCAAGGTTTGCCACAGTCATCAAATTCTGCTTGTGGTTGTTGGCGACACTGGAAAGAGGGAAAAGAACAAGTTAGAGAAGCTATGCACATAGAGATGGTTGGCCTCTATGGGTGCTTCAGCCTTCCTACCTGAATCTATAGTAAGCAGGACCCTGGGCATCCTTGGATGCCATGAGTCAAAGAGCAACTTTTCTCTTTTATCTTCAACTATAGAGTTCACAGGTCTGCATTAGGTATTCACTTCAGAATATAATTTCCATTTGCCTAAAACAACGAGCCAACCAACCAATCAACTAGTCAATGCCATCAGTCAGATGACGAGCTTTGGCTCACCTGAGTCACTACTACCTAAGTCCAGGTAACTGTCTACTCTCTGTCTGCTGCCTCAACCCTGGAGGGTTTTCCCTCTGCATGGTCTCCAATGGTGATCAAGAAGCCTCTGGTTTTAATTCATTTGCAAACAAAAGCACAAAGTAGACATTTTTCATAAGGAAAAGAACTGGTATCTAAACCATGACAGGGAATTCGGTATTAAAGGTCCATTTGATTAAGCATGCGGATCACAGCTAGTGAGATGTAGCATGGACAGAAAAGTGCACTACTGTATATCCATGTGCTTATATTGCACTAACACTCGCGTTTTAAAGAGGACGTGAGGTCAGCAGGTGTCAGGTCAGAGCAGTCTGCTAAACACACATGCATATTCAGGTAAACAACTATTCAAACTAAGTACAACTGAACTCTATGCCCAACCTATAAACTCAATGGTTCCTAGGCAGTCCCTTGAATAAAAACTTAGGAATGACTTACTGGCAATAAACCAGTGCATGCCATCCAGCTGTTAGAAAATACTAGCAGCTTCCTTAATCACTCACCTGCTGGAAGAAGGAAGCTATTCATTACTAACTCAGACCTAGAGAGAAATATGGGTAGAGACAGTTTCCATAGACCAACCTTCCCAGCGATTAATGCTGTGTATACTTAATATCTTTCAAATAACTCCATCAATGCCTGCTGTTTCTCTCGTAGACTTCCATTATGTAGCAAGAGAATAGATCCACCTACCTTAAACGCCTGTTTTTAAACTGAGTACTGAAATCCTACTTCAACCAATTTTATAATGATGTACGCTTTCCTTCAAGTTTTTGAGGCTGAGATATCAAGTTAATTTCTTTCTCTGGAAGAGACCAGGTGTGTTTAGGGGTATGGGACTCTAACTGTGGTGATGTGCAGTGAGAAAGAGGATTTGCTTCTTGACTGCAGGCAGCACTCAGAGAGGAAGCACTGCCACAGAAGCCTGGTCTGTTTCAGGCCCATACAAAGACATTTTATTAGCATGCTGCTAGCCCTACCCCAGTCCCCTGAGGTGTCTTTTTCATTCGGCCAAGAACTACACCACACTGTCCATGTGAAAGAGTTAATGGCGATGGTCAAATGGGGACATGGCAAAGAAAGCCCTAGGCCCATCAGCCAAGCTCACACTCTCTCAGACTGCTTCTCCATCATCACTTGGCCCGTCAAGTCATGAATGAGAAAAGAATTCAGGCTGACACTTCTACCAAGTGAGTTAAGTTACAAGACTTATTCCTGTTAGTACAAAGTCCCTTGGGAAAATGAGACCAGCAAGTTATTTATGCCTGAAAACACTTTCAAAGTGCAAGCCAATATAAAACATGAGTTGGGATCATGATCTTTTCCTACCAGCAGGCCTTCCAGCTCTCTCCCTGACTACAGAAAAAGCCTCCATGCCAGCCCCCCTACCTACCACCTGTGTCCAGCTTTCCCAGATTGCTACCATCGTTGAAATGTGGAAGCCTACTCTGATATTCCTCCTCTGCTGGAGGACATTCTCATATCCCTGCTGGTCCCAGAGAGACCACAAAGTCACAGCTCTGCAGAATTTGGCAATTCTCATGTTTAATTGTTCTGACACTGAAAGCAGATGGTTGGTCCCTTTTATTTTGCCTAGCTCCCTGGGGCTGAAGACATAGTACAAACAAGGCCTTGGATACACTAGGCAAGTGCTCTTTTGGGCAATACCTGAAGTTGGATACTTGCATAAGAAGCACACCTTCCCCGTACGTCATTTCTAAGTGCCTGCTACTTCCCAGCTGTGTGTCACTTGACAAGCAACTTCTTTCATCAAACATCATCTTTTTGAAAAGGAATAATAAGGTGGGTAGGGCACCACTTCATGGCATGTGGCGGAGACTGAATGTGATCGTGCATGGGAAGCGTAATGATGGGAATGCTTTACTCTCTACTCTCCAGCCTCCTCTTCGGCTCCCATACTTTTCCTCTTGTTCATTTCACTTCCTGGTATACAAAGTTCCTAGTATTTCTGTGCTTGACAAACTTTCTCTGTAAAGCTCAGCTCACATGGCACCCTTGCTTTCTGCACCTGCCTTGGTCTCTTCCTAGCTCTCTACCCCAGATTCAAGCAGACAAGTTAGCCTGCCTCTGAGGTCCTCCTCACTCAGTGGTGATGCTTCCATCACTATAATGCATAGAGTCTGAGGCACTGAATTTCACAAAGCCAGGGATGAAACTTAAAGCATGATGGGAACTTCTTAGTAGATGTAAAACAGCTAAAAATTTTTGTAATTATTATCAACAATTTGGGTATAGTACCTGAATTATCCAGACCTCCTTTTTCAAAGTCTCAAGCTGTGTTCCTCTTCTTAGATTTAATTAATGAGTAATAATTACTCTGATTTGCAGGCCCCGAGGCTCAAAGGCATTTGGGAAAAACAGTACAGTAATTCTGGACTGGCATCTCTGAATATAAATAGGCTTGAGGCTACTCAACAAATTCATTTCCCATTTAATGATCCATTTTATTCTGAAACTTAGAACACATTGATCTAAGTCTTGAGAAACTTTTCAGCGACAAGCTTGTACCTTCTCATTGCTACCATTATATCTGGGCACTGCAGAAATAAATTGTTCTGTCACATGATTATTTAGGCTCACTACTTGCTACAGCTTTGTTCATTACTCCAGAGTGAATTATTAATGACTTGAGATCTTTGTGTATTTCAGAGATAAAGGCCTAGACCTAAGTCTCTGCTGGCACCAGCCATGAATTATAGCTTGATGGATTTACAGATGTGTGGGAAGCAGGCTGGCACGGTGCTGGGAAGCTGGTCCAGCAGGAGCCACGGGACTCATTCATTAGTAAGATCCATAAAACACTGAGTCTGCCTTCTGTTCTGTTAATTGTACTGCCTGGGCTCTTCCTCAAACAGTTCAGAATGTCATGTTGAGTCTTGTCTTAAAATCCCTACACATGCTTCTTGTGTGTTGAACTCTGCACTGACACATGCCTTTCAGACCCTGGTGTCCATATGGACCCTCAGCAGAGTAGCCTTCCACAAACATTGCATGTAGAGTTGCCTTTCTGAAAGCTTGCCTCCAAGGATGCAGAAGAAGAGGCCCACCTGTGTTGGTAGGGAAGGAAGCCCTGTTCCTTCTGAGACCCCGCAGTTGGGCTGTAAACACTGAGAGCCAGTGCACCTCCTAAGGCATATGGCATAGGGAAGTTGCTGGGGAACTATACCCATGCTCCATGCAACTGGATTACAATTAGCAAGCGAAGAACACATTTCAGTGAGAAAAGGGGAACGGTATATGAACTCTTGTCATCTTTATTTCAAGGGAAAGTAGCTAGACAGTCTAGATCTGGTATCCTTTGGAAGAGAGAAAGGGGGAAATCATTTCCAGACAAAGACTGATTGTAATAGGGAGAGCATCACAAGGGGCTAAACAGTAGTCAACCCCTTTAGGGACTATTAAGAAAGGGCCTCAGACTGCATTGGAATCACATCTGCTTTCTTTGAGTTGAAATGAGAATCAGGGCTCTCTAAGTGCTGAGTTCTTTCTAACCACAGACTTCCACAAGGGCCTCCAGGTACCTGTGAGCCTACAACATGGTTTGCAACCTGGTTGTCTTTGAGGGCTGGAGCTCTGTATTAAGGAAAAAGTCAAAGCTGGGCCCAGTTCTACAGGACACAATGTGGTGTCAGGTTTGTGAGGTCAACTCAACATAGATCCCACGGCTGTAACAAGGTTGTAGTAACAGCATACAACCCAGTGTTAACTAACATTATACTCCAGCGCAACTCACTTTTGCACTAAGAACTGCAATTTGGAAAACATCGTCCGTCACCATAGGAACACTGTGTGCAAATGTGACCCGATTTCTACATACATAAGACTAAGGGAGATGGTCACCCAGTTGGAGTCAGAGAAAGAGCCAGCTGGATGATAGGCAAGTCATGTGGTCTCCTTATACAGGAAACAGGAACAAAGACACTTACCTTATAGCACTGGAAGGGCGATAGAGGATGGCTAACTAGTCCACCTCCTGGCATGACGTATCAGCCTAATCAATGACAGTTTAAAGCCATACTACAGGAATGTTTAGTAGCTGCTTCAGTCTAGGGTGAGGAGAAGTACCTATCTCACTGTGTTAAAAAACAACAACAACCAAAACTATAGCAAATTGAACCACACTTATTTTCCTTCATTTCTTCAGCACCATATCTGGCACCACAGGCTGAGAGACTCAGCCAAAGCAAACCCAGGAAGCTCATTTTGCTTCAGGACACCAACAGCTTCATGCCCCAACCTCGTGAGCAAGCTCTCCACTCTCCCCTAAGCAGCGAAAGCTCACTGCCCTGTGAAGCCAGCTCTGGGTAGCACATGCCCACCACAGCCACAGCAAGCCTGCTCCTTTAAACTACATGTCCTGATCCATCCGCGGGGCATTTCCACACTAATGTTCCCTTTCACAAGTGTTACTTGACTAAGAGCTGGATGGTGACCTTGAAGTGCCTCCTGCAAGGGCTGCACACAGGCCTGAAAGTAAGAGCGTGGGTGGGACATCAACCAGCAGTAAACATCACCTTAGTCACTAACACCTTCTAGGGGAAGCCCCAAGGCTGGGCTGAGGATTCACTAGAAATGAGGCTGTTATTTTGTGGTTAACCAGCTAAGTGTTAAGTTTCCAGGGCTGTTAATCTGGTTGCTTTCACCAATCCCTAAGT